ACGCTTATGTGATAACTCATAAGTGACAAGTGCTTTTACTAAAAAGAAATACTGCAAAATAGTTTCAATTAAAATAGAATGGTAAGTGGTTATTCTGCAAGAGAAACCATTAATTATTATTATTATTTGAATGAATTTCTAAATTAAGTTGTACGAGGTTTACTCGTATGCTTGTAAAATAGGACTGTATAGGTGCAAATTTCATTTATTTGAGTATACTTCGGTGATAATACATACTTAAATTTTAATTTAGAAATTTTTTCAAAGGTTACATAAAGGTTTCGAAATTAAGAGTTCTGAATATTGGCGACATGTTCATTTTAAAATTATCTACAGAAATTAATTATTAAATCATGCTGCCAGATTCTTTAAGAGCCTTGCTGTGCGGCTGTTATTGAATATAGTTATATCAGCATTTGTATAGCAAAGTTTATTGACACTCTATCGATTAAAATGACAAAAATAACAGATAACACAGTGTTTATTAACATTTAGTGACAAGTGGCTAAGAAAATAAAATGTGACATAAACATACAAACATACATACAGGTTGAGGAACTCAACAAATACCTAATGAACCACATAAATAAAAAAACATATGTATGCAAGATCAAAGTTAATCACTGATAATGATTATGATAAATAAATAATTTTACGGCTTAACACCCCCACACATTAACTTTCAAATATATCCATTGACTTTGAACGTATAAACGATTGTCAGCTTGACGTCTTAGCAATAACAACAAAACAGAAGAATTAAATAAAATATGTTAACTTGACGAGGGAGGTTCGAGTTGCTCATTATGGTGTTGTGTGTTCCTTGTTAACGATGGCAATAGCAACCCGTGTTAAGGTTCGAAATTCTCATGAGCTTCAAAGCCGTCGCTTCAAATAGTTTGTCCTCATGACAAACAACATAATGTGACAACTCAAGCAAAAAGTAGCAACAAATAAGTAATCAAGTACACTCAGGATACTTTAGCTTTGGAAAGTTTCATAGATATAAGTACTTATTAGCGATTTAATATAATTTTGTTAATATATGAATATGTAAATAAGATATCTGTTAAGTCATTTAAGCTTGAAATAATAGGCAATGGTTAGATTTAAAAAGACTTTACTTTATTATAATCGTATGTACTTTATGGTTAAGTAATCTAGTGTTATTTCAAATTTTCTAATTGACTATTTTGTTTCTATTTCCCTAATCACCGTTTCTTGGAATATTACTCAAAGGTTTAGCGCACCTTTTGTGTTTTAGTACGAAGCTTTTTAAACCATATACCCCATACGAAATACATACATTAATTATAACGGGTGATCCAAGGAGATGTACCTTTTTTAATAGTCTTTTTGTGACAGATCATGCGTGAGTAGTTTCAAGCTGTCATATTATTTTTATTCAGTATTGTTTGACAGACTTACGTATGAACTTTATTACGAAAATTAACGTTCGGTAAAAAATGTCATTCGCGATCGTTGCTCAACTTATGGTCAACATAATCGGCATACTGAGCGTACTATTCGCAACACCATCTTGCGACCCAGAACTAATTATTGGATAATATTTGACCGAATAGACCACGTCCAGCACGCAGTGAAGACAATGGTACATTTTACGTCGATATCTTAAATTAAAAGCGTATAAATTACAGCTTGTGAAAGAGCTAAAACCGATCGACCTTCCCAAGCGACATCGCATCGCATAGAAGGGAAGGAAAGGGGGAGTGTTTTAGTGGGTATACCAATCACGTAGGATGACGATTCTATATGGTGCGAAGGCATTTTAAACCCTTCTTACCGCCTAAAAATAAAAAAAGGCACTGGTTTAATCTTATTTGATTCTCAACTAACTCATGTATGTATTTTGATCCAGAAGCCCGAATTTCGAAATTTTTTCGGTAACTATTTAAAATTCGACCTGAATGCGGATATATATTCGGACAAACAGTCAGTGAAAGTACATAAATTAATATGAGGAGGGGAAAACAGTCTTCAAACAGTGACGCACAGATGAAATGTATGAGAAGTGTACTAGCACTATAAAATAATTTAAAAGGAGAGTAAACAACACAGAAGGAGAAAGTGGTATGGCGACAGTCTATCGCTGAACGATGCGATGGTTTAAGATAATATGCTCAAATAGTAAAAACAACAGCTCGCGACGGCTGCACTTTGCATTGCCACCGACTTGTTTTGAAAACCCAAAAAATAAAGTCAGAAATATATATACATACCTAGCTACTAATGTATGTATTTATATATATGTGCCAGAGAGAGGATAAATACGGCAAATGACAAACCCGACAGGGGTTAAACAAAAAAAAAGTTTGGTAATGGAGTAGTTAGCGTAGTCTAAGTGACATATAGGGTGGAACGAGACAAAATTAAATTTATAAATAATTTTGAAAGAAAAGTAAACCAACCTTTAATTTTAAGATAACACGTCTTATATTGCAATCTTTCAACTTTCCGCTAAAAATCATACAATAAACGGTATACATTTTGTTTGACAACACGTTTCAGTTTAGGCTCTGGAAGAGTTAACAATTCGAAACTCAGTTCAGAAAGCTTTCAGATAAAATTCTTTTCGTCAATAACATAATAACAAGATTACGCCCATCTACAATACCAACCGTCTCCCGGTGCCAAGAAACATGCCTACTAAGTTTCATAAAGATATCTCAATTTTTACTCAAGTTAGAGCTTGCACGGACGGACGGACGGACAGACGTCACCCGAATTTCAACTAGTCTCTTCATGCTGATCATTTATATATACATAACCCTATATCTAACTCGATTGGTTTTAGGTGATACAAACAACCGCTAGGTGAACAAAACTATTATACTCTGTAGCAAGAGGTTGCGAGAGTATAAAAATACTAAAAGCGCGATAAACCAAGCACTAAACACCCCAGAGACATTAAATTTTATCTCTGGGATGGTATGAGATGACTTTATAGGAACCCTGTTCAAAATTTGTCAGTGGGCGCGGCACCGCCCACTTTTAGTTGAAAACCCATATCTTGAGATCTGATCAACCGATTTTAACCAAATTTGGTGCTTAACGTTCTATTTCTATGTTATAGTGCGAAAATGAGCGAAATCGGACTACAACCACGCCTATTTTCCATATAACACCATTTTCAATTCCATCTGATTCTTTCACTTTCCACTATGCATATCAAGCAGCTATGATTATATCGGGGTCAAACTTTGCGTGAATAATACGTTTAAAGTATGCCACCTTGTGACTAAAAATTATCTAAATCGAACCAAAACTCTTCAAGTCCCTAAGTACTAAATATGTGGACCCAGGCGCCTATAGTTGACCTTCTACCGAAAATATCAGTCAATCCACAAAGAAATCTCAAATGAGTATACCATTTGACTTTGCGAGAGTATAAAATGGTCGGTTACATCCGAACTTAGCCCTTCCTTACTTGTTTTTTTTTTAGATTTGATTTAAAATTGAGGAATGAACTGAACAGACGCGTCACAGATCCGTGAAATAGTACCCTGTGCAAAAGACACCGCAGCCTACAGTGATCTGTATAAAACTACACCACAAACTGCTTTAATTTGTTTCTGAAACAGAGCTTGAATAAAATTAAGTTCGCACACACTAATGTAAATGGATTCTGTCACACGTCTGCCAATTTCCAGTTATACTACCGTATTTACCATACAAAATGTAAACATGTATGTATGTTAGGGCGAGCCAAAAAAACTTACCTATAGAATTAATGAGTTAAAATAAACCTATATACAGATAAAAAATATTTCTTCAAAGCAGGATTTTTGATTGTATTTAAAAAGCCTTGGTGAGCATGAAGAGTTTACAATAAGTTAAATTTTGTTTCATAAAAATAATAACATTTTAACCGTTTAAAATAAAATAATTATATTACGGATTTTTGTAGAGCACAAAATTTTCCAAAAATACATATAATACCTCTATTCGATTTTTTTTTTCAATTCAAATATTCGTAAAATCCGTTTTTGAAAAATGAAAAAATCAAAATATGCAACAGATATACAGATTATTATTATAATTATACAAAAGGAGGAAATAGCAATTTATCTTGCAAGTGGTTTATTTAAACCCATGAATTCGATAGATATATTTTTTTTTTGACCCACCCTAATGTATGTGCATGTGTATATTTTGTGGTGACTTTGAAGTCATATGCAAAGTCGACAAAAATTCAAGAACTTAATGCATTTTTGTAGTTGAGTGACACATATGCACACAAATACATTAAAATTTCAAACGGAATTAAGTTCAGACAGAACGAAATCAGAATTTTTGACTATAATTGTGCCGAAGTGATTTTTTCAACTTAAAAAAATAAAAATAAATATTTAACTTAAAATATATATAATTTCTTATATAATATATTAGTAATTTTATATTAAATAAGCATTGCATAATATGCAATATTCGAACTGATGAACTGTGAAAAAAGTTAGTAAAAATACTTTGAGCGCCGCTGTTGAAGTTGAAATCATATAGAAACCTCATAAAGGTTGCTAATAAACTTTACTTTATCTTATAAAACTTTTTCTTACCACCACTCAACCTTTTAACATAACTTTTTCTTATATAGTATAGTCGCTATATTTCAATTAACTGAAATACGCTTACTAATAGTCAGGAATGGTCACTGCTGACTACTTTTTGTATAATCACCGATGATAATATGTCCATTACACAAATACCTAAAAAGAAATTAAATAGTGATCACACTAACTATTTAGGTCCGTAGGCGGGAATGTAGTCGCTGACATACAGTCGAGTTTAATGTAATCCATTTTAAATTATCTCAAACCTTTGATTGTGTGAAATGTATTTAATTGAAGCAAATATTACCAAGTGCTCTGTTCAAGCTAGCTTTGCGAAATTCTATTATATTTAATTAGACAAGGCATAATTTCAAACACACTTACCAATAGAAAAATATTTTACTAACACATTTCGATTTTGTTTTGCAGATGAATACTTTGCATCCGAAACATTTGAGACTGGCTACAAAATAACGAGGCGACTAGCCTCAAAAGATGTTGTCACTGCAGTCTTTGGTTCTTTCGTTTTGTGGCAAAGAATTCTCTTGGCGATACAAATTCAAAACATGTATAAAATATACTGAAGAATGCTAGCTGATTACATAAAATAAAAGAGCTTACTTTATGCGTGTGTTAAAATATATTATACAATAATTTTAATTTGGCAGTGTAGTGGCTATAAGCCAGGTACCATCTGATAAAAATTTACCTGCACTGACAAAAAAACTACATTTTGACGCTTCTAATATAAATATTTATTTTAACCTTCAAAATAGGCTCCTTAGGCGCTAAATCATGCCAGCGCTTAATACAATTTTCTTTACAGTTGTTATATCTAAGTCTCGACTGAAATGGCGTTCAGTGCATTTTGCTGAATTGTTTTTTTTAATATTTTTTTTCATGTTATTGTCATTAGCAGAGGATGGCGTGCTCGGACGTCTTCACGACCTTCACTGAAAAGCAAACTCATTACTAAATTTTTTTCCATGGCAAACATCGCTAAACAAACCTTCCGCGTCGTAAACACACATCTGTCAAACACACACTAATTGACGTATGGGGACCAAACTTCACACGAAGATTAAAAAGGTTGTACCAATCTGGATTATTCACCGATTTTATTTCAATTTGGTCAAGTTTTATTTCATTCGTATTATGTAAGACTATTCACAAGGTGAAAGAAAACTTCCAGATATTTGTGAAAAAGAGTATGATACGCCAGAGAAAAGCCAAGACAACACATTCATTGGTCACTATACAAAACAAATAGAATACTAACGAGAAATAGTTGGAATTATTAGGTCGAAAAATATCTATTTTTCGTGTCTGAATAATATATAATATATTATATATATTTATAATTGCTGAAATACTGTGACACTGGATTGAGCCCATTAAGTTTAATGGATAACATACTTTAACAAATGATTGAGAGTTGTAGAAACCTCAGAATAATTCAAGGCCACCTTACATATATATGAACACTTAAAATTATTATAATTCATCCTTCAGAAATTATCAATTACTGAGTAGAAATGAGATGTTCGTAAATATATCCTAAGTATAGAAACATATGTACAAGAAATTGCTAACATTATGTCCCTCATAATATTTTCTGTATACTGTTCAATATAGTTATAGTATTCTAGTCTATGATATTGTTGAATTAAAAGCAAATATTTCCGTGGTAATAAATAAAATTGGTAGAATAAACAGGACAACTGGAAGATTTTAGTGATAGCTTCTAGCTACACAACACAAACCAATTCTTTACCATAATAACGTCAACTCGTTTATTCTTCTGCTTGCAAGTTAAACTTATAAACAATAGTGTTATTTAAGTATTAATATGAAAAATTATTACATTTAGCTTAAACTTTCAGTGGCTTCAAATAAGCTTGCGGTTTGAGAAATTAGAAAATGTAGAATTTACTGTGTGATTCACTGTATATTTACTTGACTGTGCTTAGCTGGCAACGACCCAATAGTATTGCATAATTAATATGGGAGTAACTGCAATGGTGTTGAACAGGAGTGTATGTACAGTGTACACACATACACTCACAATCGAATTTATGTACCTTATATATTGGCCAGGGGCCATATCCACTTTGTCAAGTTGCTGTTTGAATGGCCAGTTTGAGAATTGAAAGCAATTATTAAGTTCGGTGTTAGCAATTAAATCGAAAGGTTTTGGTTTGGAAATAATTTAATATATTTATATGATAAGTATATATATAAACATTTTTTGTTGCATAATATTTGAAACCATGTATATCTAACCTATTTGCTTAAGTAGCAGTAAAAAGGTAGCAGAAAAGGATTACTTATTATTGTAAGAAAGTTTTGCATTCAAGATCTCCTATGAGTTTTGTGGTCCACTAGAGAACTGAAAATTCAAAATTCTATAGCGCAATATATGAAACAAAAATTATTTAATTAATTTTAAGGGCTATAGAATATATTAATTTAACTAAAAATCCCATATAAAGTAGTTTCAATTGTTTTTAAGCATTAAACATACTGCAAGTATAGAGTTTTAATATCTATGCCCCTTAAAGTCACAGGAAAAAGAAAACTTTCAAAATCCAGTTGCAATAGTGTCATTATTATTATATTAGTCCAAAGGTTTTAAAGCGAAAATGTCAACCAAATAAACCACTTTAGATTATATACTGTCTAGTAAAAACAAATCCATTTTTTCCAAAAGATGGCATTAGTAATCTGTGTCTTAATCGGGTTACGTTATACGGAGATAGAAAAATAAAATTTCGTACTAAAAAACTTCTGAGATAGGTTCTGATTGTGCACCATATATTCGTTTTCGTTTAATAAAGGTAAAAACTTAAGCTGGGCAACTGAGAATGTGAGTAGTGTTTTTGGTCTTAATACTGTAACAGCCAATCATGTGGAATTTTGGTTTTGTCGATTCCGTTTCAGTAATTTTGATGTCAAAAATGCACAGCGCTCTGTAAGATCAATTGTCGAAAATGTCGATTACTGGAAACCGTTGAGTCTGACCATCATGTAAGTATTTTCGAGATTGCCCAGGAGTTAATCATTAGACAAACGACAGTTTGCAACTATTTAAATGAATTCAAAAACAAACTCGATGGATGAGGTAATGAAAAGTGGGATACTTACTGCAACGGCTAAAAACGGATAAAATTGACAAAATCGCCTCAAGAGAAGCTCCTGGAAAACGACAGTCTCATTTTTTGTCAATAGGAACGATGGTTTTCATAAAAGGAAGATTTTTAGATTGCCTAAAAATTGCAGTAAGTTATCGAACAAAGCAGTGCTTATTTAATATAAATTAGACAATTTTGACTAAGCTATATAAAATCTTGAATTTTATGAAAAAATAATTAATTTTTTTACTAGACTTTATGACACATAAGTTTGTGCTAATAAAAAATAATATAAATGAATTATTTTCCAACAAAATTTTGTTGTGATACATTCATGGGTATACTTGTATTTTCGTTTTTCGAGTATTTATAGATTGCTCCAATTGTATTCGTATTGCTTAAGCTTAAACTTTCGCTTTGTTCAAATACTTTCTACGTTGCGTTTTATTTACTTAATTCTAAAATTTTTCTATTTCCGATTCATAATAATTTTACTAAAAAGTGCTTTCCATTCCGTTTAAAATTATTTCAAAATCGAATATCATAAAGTTTTGCTCTATATATTTAATTTACATTTAATTCTTTCTCTCAATAAAATACTGAAAAGGTCATATACTTGTAGTGTGCTACACTCTACTCTTTTTTTCTGTTCTTGACGCTGTTCTATATTTTCTCGTTTTTCATTGCAGACATTCCACAAACAATGACAGTAACTACAGTAGCACTGACGGAGGATCTAAATACCGCAGCAATGGTGGTTGCAAAATTCAAGAGCAAAGGCCTGTATAGATACCGTAGATAAAAAAATATAAGTTTTCACAAATTAAAACTTAAATTCAACTCCATTATTTATTATACTTAACTTCATTTCGTTATTTCTAAGCTATACACATGTTCTCCTCCTCAAAAAATGTCATAGATATAGATACCCTTATATCCATAGCATCCAATTCAGTTGAAAGTCCTTACGCTTCCCTTAACACACATTTTTTTACTTTGCCTCCCCTTCACTTACCTGGGAAATCCTTTCAACAACTCAATGCATCCACTTGTCTCATTTATTACTCCGTTGCAATAGCCAGTTTTGTCGTTTGTTGTTTTAGGAGGTCATTTAAATGTTGTGTTTACCATAAGAGGAATGTTTGTACCCATTATATACCTAGCTTGTGTCTATGAATATATTAGTAGTATGTTAGTATGCTTATGATGTTTTTTAAACAATGTGGACTTATTGCACATATGTATTTTATATATTTACAAAATAACAACAATAACAATGGGTAGGATGCGTCGAAAAAATAGATCAACGATTCAGTAAAAAAGTGCTTCACACAAAATCGAATACAGCAGATATTTCATTGTCGTCATCCTTGAATAATGTTTATAATGGTGCCATATCAAGCTTATGGAATTCACCGGATCACGGTACGGGGAGAGAGTATAATCAATGTGAGTACATAAGAGAGGTATCAGTTTATTCATATTTTGGATTTTGAGTAGCTTTATAACATGACAAAGTTTATTTTTTAGTTGAATATTTTTTTAGCTAGCGTAAAACTCCCACGAGGAACATATTGAAAATATTTTATTTAATTATTTCCGACTGAAATAACAAATTTAGTTGTGACCTTAACTCATGTAATAGGCATAATATAACGTTTAGTAAAAAATTCATTAATTTTGCATTAAACTGAGGGTTATATTTAGTGTAGACAAAATGATCAGACTTAAATCAAATATGCACCGATATGTTTGATAACTTTTTGCCATTATGAGGATAATTTCACAATTTCCCTCTTATAGAGATCGTCGTCTCTTTTGGCTGAGACAGTCGATTCTCACAAACTTCTCTTGAGGCTAATTTTTCAGCAACAAAATCATTCACTAAAGACAGACACAGGTAGTAATTACTTGGTGCCAGCTTCGAGCTAAAAGGTGCTTGTATAAGACAAACATGCTTCCGGAGCTTCTGGGGAGTCATTGTTGACGTTTTTGGCCTGGCGCTGTTCTGATTGAACACAATTCCTTCCTCACTGTTGACAGTTCAAGTCCGAATTAAGTGCTTCACTGTAAGGTAGCAGTTCATAAAAGATGAGTCCCTCTAAATCCAACTAAACACATAGCAAAATCTTGCTAACAGTGCATTCGCCCTCGTTTGTCCTGGCTATTCGCGATTCGATCACGACCTTTTTCACTTCACGTCGTTTAAGTGCTCCACTTTTCATCACTAGTTTCCCGTTTTAGAAAGAGATCGATGTTGTTGCGGTTCAGCCCAAAGAATAATGAGTCAAGTAATTAAAACTTATAAGACGAAATCTTATCAATTACTATATAGCGGAACCCGATCACTCGCAATTAACGCCAGATACAGATTACTAAAGCTAGCTATTGGAAAAATGATGGATTCCTTTTTACCAAACCATGAGCCAATGTAACGGCCAGTTAGGTCTAACTGAGATACCAGGCGTAACGATAATAATACGAGTGATCAACCCTCCTTCACAGCTTCGATCGATATACTTACATACATATTAATATTCCAAACAAAAAAAAATTTCGCTTATGCCTACCGACGAACTAATTCGATTTTATTGAGATAAATGTAACTCATTGGTGGGCCTTAGCCAATAAGTATTGGCCGTATTACACGAGAGCTCAGTAACTCAGTAAAATATGAATATTTCTTAATTATGCACTTATTATATACTAACACTTCACTACAATATTTCTACATATTTATTTTTTATTATAATTAATTAAATATTTGCTTTAAATAAGCATTTTATTTTTACACAATTTTCGTTATATGTACAATAACAAATGGGTTCCATATTGACAGATAATAAGTGTTGCTATATCCAAACGAATGAAAGCAATCAAAATAAAAAAAATTTTAAAACACCCTTTACAAAATTAACTTATATGCTACTATATGTAAATATTGTACCAATTCAATGACAAAACGGACAAAAAAAGGAACGGTACCTTGTTTAGTTGTAACAATATCCGTTATAATCCGTTATAGAAAATGAAATTCAAAGAGACCATCTTTAACATTACTTTTTTTTGGTTAGATTTCCTATTTGCATTGTGTAAAAATAAAATATTTATTTAAAGCAAATATTTAAATAATTGCTATAAAATAAATATGTCGAAACATTGTAGTGAAGTGTAAGTGTATAATAAGTGCATAATATAAAAGAAAAAATAACTATAAATAGAGATTTTGTAAGATAAGATTGGTGAAATATTAAACTTTAATTGCAAATATCTCGAAAACTATAAGTTTCCGGCTGCAATAATTAGATATATTCGTGATCTGGAGAATCTCACCTATCCAACCATACCCCTCTTAACCCTGAAATCGTGGGATGGTATACTAAAGCCGACCCAAGTTATAAGTATTTTGAAATAGAAAGCTTTAGGTCTTAATTGTTCGCATTCAAGCTGATCCTTATATTAGACAATTTGCTTTAAAACTTGGAGAGCTTGGGCTTATGCTCATATATCTATATTTTAATTAAGACAATCAATTTTTGGTGCTTCTACATTTTTGTACTCCCCAAACTATTCATTGAGAAAACAAAAGGACAAACAATATACGTGTTTATATATTTTGAGTTTTTCTCAAGCATATTTTCTATCAATATTTTTAGTTTAAATGTTTTCATACACGATTTGCATTCAACAAAAGCGCCACAGTTTCAACGATGGCAGTATGACAAACGATTATGCCACTTGAAGTGTCAGCACTTACTCTCGGGTGTCGGGCATTTGCTCTCTTTAATAATCGAGCCATACTCAACGCTGAAAAATCACCAACGGAGGATGTCAGTTACAACTGTGCCTGTCAAAATCGATCAAACTGCAAAGGGGAAGGAAAATAAATTTGAATGCGGGTAATTGCAGGGGACGCTTAGAGAATCACACAGTCAAACAGACCGGAAAGCAGCAAGTCACGCATACATTTAGTTAGGATATGGAGAAAGCAAAAGTATGTAAGCGTACGAACCTTTTTGCAATTGCATTTTTGGCGCATATGATTGCCCAGCTGTTGAGAAAGTCTTGGTTGTTAACTGGCTTAGGTTTAAGCACCATGCTACGTCCAAAGCAAGCTGGCGTACAAACACAAAAATTGCCATTATTCCAACGTTCAAAGAATTTTTACATAGAATCGAGAAAAAATAAATCTTTGCTAGGAAGACACTGTGCTTGCTTCTTTACTCTCTTCCTTGCATCTCTTTTCTTTAAGCTAGCAGGCTTTATTTTGTCTTCACATTTTACCATCGCATGCATTTTTATATGCAAGATATACTTGTATGATTAGCTTTTCACCCAATATGTATGAACTTAGCTTCACTTCGATAGCTTCACTGCATTTCCCTTAAGCTTTTATACTATTTTCCAAGTTTTAAATTTTGCTTATCTTAAATATTTCTTGAAAATTTCTTAAGTGCTTTTGATCGTTTGATTTAATCTAACAGCAGTTCTGTGGCATTTTTAATGCAATAAATGACATCTGGCGAAATACATTTACGAAAATGAAATTGGCTTTTGAGGAAATGCCTATGATACTGAGAAATTTAATTACGTAGTAAGTAAATATATTCATTTTTTTATGTTACAATATGCGAGTATAAATGGAGATATATAATACATAATTTTCATGAATCAAATATTTTCTATTTTGAATAAACATATGAGATATAGTCATGTTATTCAAAAAATTGTAAAACTTGCTAATAAAATTCGACTAAACCGGTTTGCAATGTAGAGAGTCTTGGAAAGATAATGAGCTAACTTTTGCTACTAAAATCATTATACAGCGTGTTTCATGTTTTAGCTGTTATATTTTTTTAAATTTGCGAAGTGAAAAATTACCACATGATTTTCTTAACATAAATGTTTATGAGAATTATAAATCAGTTTTAATCTTCTTAAATTAATTTTAATGTTTAGTGGGATTTAACATCGCTTGTATAAAAACGTTTTTTATACATTTTTTTTCACTCCTATAGAACTACCTTTAGATCAGGTTGACTTCAAATTTTTCGTATTTTTTAATGGTTCACGGTTCAAATAAATTTGTTAAAGTGCCTCATTGTAGAAAAAATCTATTTCGATCTAATATCCTTTTTTATTATAACAATCATAAAAAACCGATAAGAATTAACTTGAGCTTGAATTAAACATCGCCAACCAAGCAAGAAATTAGTCTTGCGCATTCAGGATATTACACATAGTTCAAGTGATTTTTGCTAATGATTTATGCAAACACATAATCGCCAGAGAGTATGCTAAATATTACTTATTTTACTGCTAATTACTTAAGATTTATTTTTGCAGACTATTTACGCCCTTGCGCCCAGAATACGAATTATTCCAAATTATATTAAATAAAACTTGAGCAACTTTAGAGGTACAATTAGTTTTAGGTTATCGAAATGTGTGCATGGAAATATATTGCTCACACAATATTTCTTAAAAGTGAATTTGTTTCGATTACTAAAAATTTGGTTCCATTTATTTCTGTTTTTCTTTTTGCACTAAATTTCCTACGTATATGCATATCTACATGCATATCTACCTAAAAACTTGTAGTCGCATTTCCGCAACATATTTTTTCCCTCTTCCACCATTTTTTGGCTTTTCATTGCACATATCTGGTGATTAGATTGCCAGCTGCCGGTGGAAATGTTGTCGTGCAGACGCATTAATCGGTGTATGGCACTGGTGTTTTGGATTTATACAACACGCTTGCCAAAACAAAAGCAATGCTTCCATAAAGCTAAATATATGTATAAGTATTTTTGTATTGTGTTCTTTTCCTAATTTTTTTGTTCGATTTTCCGGATTAGATTGCAATTCGCTGGCAATTCTTCGTGGTTTAGTTATGACAGCTAGAACTATTGCAGCGTAGCGGCATTTCCTGTGCAATGCAGCCGGCAATGAGCCGCGGAGGCGCTTAGTCACGCTTGAACACCGACCGCCAGCCGTTAGTAGTCAGCCACTATGGTTGTCAACTGGATTTTGACATTTATTTTAGTTTTTTGATTTATTGATTAATCTTTGATAGGAAAACTGAGAGTTTTGGTTGCATATTTTATCTGAAAAAGAGCCTGTTTGTCTATTATACATAAATATTATGATTGGTATTGATATACAATTAGAATATCAAGCATGATGCTACTATTCCTGTATATAGTTATATGAACATATATATAATGTACTAATTTTTTTTTATCAAGCCATTAAAGAGGATATTTTCTTTTTTTTTAAGCCTTACCTTGTCAACCCGAAATCACATCCAGTATTCTCTGCGATACAAAATCAGCTGGCCAACTGGTTTCACCCTAATTGGATTCTTCAAGCGCCTTCTTCTTCCGTGGTAATGAGGGATGCTTGACGTATCTCCTTCAAATATTACACATTTTATTTAGGAGATGCGAACGTATGCGAACATTGACACTTTTTATAGCGTGGTAACCGAAATATTCAGCATTGCAGAGGCAGGATCTCAGATAAGGTATCTCTGGAAGTATATGAGAAGATAAACTAGTGGTGCCTTTGATCATATAAAGCATAAGTTGCAGTAACAAAACAAGAGAAAAGTCTGTCCTGCATTTATAAAACTACATGGAGAAACATTTAGTTCCCTTTCAATGGCCAACATACGATTTGAAGATACAACTGTCATATTGCGTTGAATTCGTCCAAATGCCATCACATAACATAAACATAATAGCTTAAACACAATATGGGCGACGATGAATATTCGTCGGTTTCGGCGAGTGTTGCCGTAGTGTAAAACACAATTCCGACCAATTTCCGCGGTCAAAAATATCACAATAAATGACGAATACAAACATAAACAATCTTAATATTGCCAACGCAGACGTTTTATTAATTTTTTTTTTAATTCCTAAGATATTTACTGAAAACAATCTTTCTTTAAAATGGTGAAGCCGTTTTTGCCGCCGCGGTCGGCGATAAAATTAGAAATAACTCTATTTTAAAAATCGTCATGGTAGACGAAATGCGCCGCCCTCTCGTGTATTGTGTTAATCTTCATATACCATCGTGTATTCTAATCACCGACGGCGTCGCCGAGTACGACGAATAATCGTGGTCGCCCGTATTGTGATTAAGCTATAAAGGAGATTAAAACCAGAAAGTTTTAAAGCGAACTCAAATATTTTTCATTAAGTTCTTAGAATATATTTGAGAACGTAATATTTTTAATTCTTTAATTATTTTTCTACAGCAAATGAAACTACTACTAAAATATGTTTAGTTAAGTGTGCTTGTTAATAATACAATAGCTTCGTCAATTTATTTCAAGTCCAGATTTGTACTGCGTCTATATAAAATGTGTATTTATTTTTGTACTGAATCGTTATTAGAAAAAATAATTACATAATAAAGTTTTCGACCATATTTGAGTTTCTGTTGAAGATCATAAAAGCAAGTAAAATTTCATTGCTGAAATAACTTATTTTAAGAAACAAAGCAAATCACCCAGCCATGTAAAGTCTAAATTGTAGAAACTAGTAGATTACCACCGCGTTTTCCCAGAATTGTCCTGTAAAATTCAGTATTAAACAGGTATGTATATCAAAAAAGCTTTCAACGCCGGCATTATTCCGCATAATACGAATTATAATCTTCAGCAACATCATTTTCAGCAGGACTTCTGACTTTCTTTGGTAAGATATGAATATTATTTGGTACTCATATGCATAAATAGCAGTGTGAATTAATTATTTACACAAAAACTCCTAATTTTTTATGCTACACTCAGATTGTATATCGAGTACACTTACATATTTGCTATAAAGATGTAAAAGCTCGAAAGCTTGGAAAGTTTACGATCTAACGGGCATAAGAGTTAAGTGTAAAAAATTTAGCTTTTCAAATGTGTTTAGTAAGATATGCCAACAATATTTTTAAAATAGAGTCTAATGGCATTAAAACTGTTTGAGTGGCCTCTTTAAAAACTTTTTGATTTATTTACCCTAAACTTAGCTTACAATATGAAAAAGGAACTATAGGACTTAATACTTTATGAATACTTGCGAACTATAAATTGTTTTATTTCTAGAAGTTCCGCCTTTACTGAATCTCTTATTTAAACACTGAAAAAAGCACAAATGAAATATTATTTTATTAAATAAGCGATGCTCAATTTTCAAACATAGGTAATACTGACTCACACTTAAATTGTTTAAATCAGTTCATTTCATTTGCCTATTTCAATTCATATAAAACAACCTCAATCACACATAAATATGTAAATAATAAATAGCTCGGTCGCAAGCTAAGCAGAACAAGATGTCTGCGTTAGTCTTTTAATTGTGTCTCAATTGGTCATCATTTTATTTACTTCACTGAAGTGTACAATGATTGAAGGATGCTACAACTAAGGAGAGCCTCATTGAAATTGATCATTGATGAAAGCTCTTGACTGTTATTGATAAGCGATTAGTGGGTATTAAGATATAAAAGCTCTATATTTACATGTACCGAAGTTCCTTCAACCGTTTGAGTTCCAGCAATGTAAAGGCGGTGTATTTTAACGCTACTTTTAGTACCTTTAGTTACCGCTCAATAGGCAATGTCATGTAAGAATACTACTATTTCACTTTAAATAATCCACAAAGAGAGAGGTGCTTATTGGAAATCAATTACTATGAAGCGAATGGACATTCACTGAATTTTATTCCCTTTAAGTGCCATCTAAAGACTTAAGGCTTTAGCTACCAATTTGTAATCAAAATACATTGCAGAAAACTATGAGATTGTTTGTATTTTCTGTCATGGTATAATACTTCGATTAGCTTATAAAATTACGATTATCGCAAATCACACTAAACAATGCTGACATACTTTACATGTTGTCCTCGTATATAATATATGTTATTTTCAACTTCGATTGCCGCATGTCTTATATAAGTATTTATGTATATGGCTATAAACTGTCATTAGCTGGCCGATTTGGTTGGCTTACAGGGTTTTTAATAAAACCCTTGGGCTTAATTTGGAAATAATATGGTGTATATGCTTTCTCCATTTCACAAGCCTTTGGTTATGCTTTTTGGTTAGCTTCAATAACCAAAATCTGTAAAACCAAACAAACATGCAAAGAAGAACAAAGTTTACTTCAAAACCGCAATTTAACATTAAAAACTGCGATCATCAAATTAAATGACAACAAACACAATAGTGACAATATCAGTCCTAGTAAAACCAATGCAAGCAAAAAAAAAGTAATTTCACAAGCCAATGAAGCTAAACTACAAGGACGGTTTGATGAGACTGTGCACTTTAACAACTACAATCAGTTGATCATACCTCAAGTTATTAGGTTTGACGAAAGTTATAAAACCCAAATTTCTTTGGTCATAGTCCCAAACTCTTTGCATTAAAATCCCTTTAACAAACCTAGAGGAGGTTCAATAGACAATATGAATTTTTTATCAAAGTTTATTGTTAGAAGAGTATACCGCCTGGTTTGTACGTGAATTTAAAATCACCATGGCTGATACATGTATTCATAATAATTAAGAAGAAATCAGGAAACTTTTTATGAGAGGTACGTAGACAAAATACGCCCAAAATACTAGCTCGCCCAAACTTTTTTTCTACAGTTTATCAGAGTGCTATTCACGTTGGGTAGATTAAAGTCAAAAATAAATTAATAACGGATTCTTGTTTGATAAAACTATCATTATCATATGAACTAACAAACCTGAAAAAATTAATTCATAAAATGTTGGTAACAAAAAATATAAATAGAGTAAGTAGTAAAATTAATATTTGGTTTGTGATTCTGATGCCTTAGGGCATTAGTACTTTCCTGGCAGAAATTTACATCTTCATTTTAAAGTACTTGTATGTACTGTGTATTCAATTACTTGCTTTGATGATAAGTATTTCGTGATAACAAACTGTACTGCTGGTGTTGTCACCATTGTAAGGGAGGATTTGCTTAACCTTAGAATTCAACAAAAAACCCTGTTTCTCTGTGCAAAACTTTATGTTGTTTATAATTTCATTCAATATTTTTTGCGTATTACCTTGTTTTTGTAGCTTCCACACTTTTTCACTGCCGGCTGCTTCAACCCAAATTGTTTACATTGAGTAATCGACCTACTTTTTTTATTCGGAAGGTTGTTATTTAAATTTTTTAAAAATTAATGTTTGGGATACCAAAAAGAGGATTTGGATAGTGCAGCGGTACCATGCTCATTTCCGTTCAAAGAAAATTCAGACGGGTTTTTGGTGCCACCCCCCCGAGTAAATGGACCATTATGAGGTTTGTTAACATGTTTGACGAATCTGGAAGGTATTGCAAGAAGACCATATCATCGAGATCCGTATGTTCGTGTTCAAGAAGCAATCGCGGCTGTTGCATCGTCAATTTAGGCAAATCCAAAGTTTCCACTCGCAACTTATCGGCGCAACTTGGAGTTAGCAGACGATCTTTACAACGACTGATTTATGATGATTTAACTGTTTCCGAACAAAATTCAAATAATAAGCCCGTTAAACCCTTTAGATATGCCTATTCGCTTGACATTTTGCTAAAAAATTATTGAAATGGCAGAAGAAGACAATAACTTGATAAATTGCCGGTCTATGTCTGATGAGGCCCATTTTCATCTAAACGGAAATGTAAACAAGCAAAATAGCCGATATGGAATGAATATCAAATCCAGAAATAACGAGTCACTATGTGGTGCGCAGTTTCATCAAGGTGTAATGTCGGGCTATACTTCTTTGATAAAACAGACTGAGCTGAAGCAGTCCTATAAAAAGGTAATTGATGCAAATCTGACTTCAACCTTTCAGGACGCAACGACTAATTTTCTAAATAGGTGTCGCAATTGCATGGCTGAGCATGGAGGTCATTTACTTTCCATAATTTTTTAAACAAAATTTTTAATACAAAATAAAATAAAATTTGCTATTTAATTTGATTAAAGCAAAAATTATTGCGGTTTGTTTTTGTAGCACCATTCGTGAGCCACCCTGGACAATATATATGAGTGTTTTTGTGTTTCGCAAATATATTTTAGAAATGTATTGCTGAATAGCAATGAAGCAGCAGTGGCAGAGTTATAGAAGACTACTCGATGAAGGTAAAAATAATCTCAAACCTTCCCATATAACAACTGGCTTCAGCCAGGAGTTATCTAAGTAAAATTTGAGTTCATTGAAAATAACCATTTAGTCGTATATCGTCGAGTAGGAGTACTTACGAGAGTATCTCTATGTACACCAACTGTTGTGGTTTTATGAACAATTTTTATATTTTTACACATGAGTGTACGCGCGATAATTCGTTCACGTTGTTGTATGGTTTAAGGGATTTTTAAATGTTGCAACAATAAAAATCACTTTAATATGTATGCAACTTTCACCTATTGTGCGCATATTTGCACTTTGACACCACACTGTAGGCTTGCCACTATCCCTTGGTTGCTTTGCAACTAAGCTTTTGTTGCAATTTCTTAACCAGCGTAAGCGAGTGAATTCAGATTTTTGCTGCCACGTTGTTTTTGTTGTTGTTTTTAAATAATTCCCACACAATATTCGTGTCTTTTTTGACTGCAGGTACCTCTGCTTTAGAAGAGCATTGCTTGTTACTGTACTCATACCGTTGGCGCGTACTGTATGTGTTTGTATGAGGTGCTTCAACAGCAGGGCTTATGCTTAAAGTTTATGTAGAAAATTTATTCTTTTTCGGGGAGTTTCGTCGATTACATTACAAATATAATTTGTACATATTCGTTCCTGATTGATGTTGCCGAAGAAGGTCACAAATTAAAAGTGTTCAAAATTATAAGTGGTGTTGTGACATGAGTGGCGAAATATATTTTAAAATTTAGGGTTTTCTTTAAGAACTGTAATACTTGATTATAGATATTCCTTTTGCTAATGGATACTTGTATGAATCCATATTCATGCCGTGAACTTGAAACGAAGTTTGTAAGTCCAGAAGGGCCCTATAAAATATATTTATTGTATAAGCACTACGAGCTGAGTCGATTTAGCCATGTCCGCCTGTCCGAAATAGTCCCCCAATTTTTAAGATTTCGTTGAAAAATTTTTCACACGTTTATTTCTCCCAAAGGGCTTGATTTTAGGTTCCAGTCCTTGTATGGAAAAACTTTTTTTTGACAAAATAGCTTGTCGAAATTCGGCAGAGGTTATGGTTTAAGGAAATGGCGCTACCTCCGAACAAATTGTACAGATCGGAACACTATAGCATATTGCTGCCATTCAAATTTCAATATGGTCTTATTTTCCTTAGTAAATAACGATAATTTGACTTGATGTTTGTATGAGTTGCAGCAGGGTTTATGCACCACTCCCTGGTGGTATTCAATATAATATTCAATATTCGCATATTTAGTTAAAT